GCGGGGGCTGAGGAGCCTCCCTGCGGCCGCTCGCTCCCGGCTCTCCCGGCGGCCGCTCTCGCCCTTGGCACACGGCCGCGCGGTGCCGGTCCGTGCGTGTGCGTGCCGCTGCCCCCGCCTGCCCTGCGGGGTCCTGCCTGCTGCCCGCGCTGCCTTCCTCTGCTCCCGCTCCTGCCCCCGCTCCGCCGCGGCCTCTTTTGTTGTGCCGTGCCGGGCATGTGCCCGCGGCCGGCGGGCGCGGAGCCGGGCGCGGGTGCGTTCCCCCCTCCCGACTGGCGGTGTTGACAATAAATCCGAGATCGCTTCTGCCAATGTAAACCCGGGCCAGGTGGGTTTACGCTGTTTGTCGTGAAAAGTTAAGCTTGTTCCTAAACATGCTCTGATCTTGCCCTTTCCTGCCCGTGGAGAAGGAAGTGTTGCCTCGCAGGCTGCGGCGGGTTCTATGACAAGATGTTTTCGGAGCACCTTACGAGCCTGTGTTTCTCTGTCGTTGCGGCCAGCTTGGCTCCCAGATGGCCAATTCCCTGAACGGCCGGAACCCGCGCAAGGGACGGATCCTGGGCTTCATCGATGCCATTCAGGATGCTGTGGGCCCCCCCAAGCAGGCAGCTGCCGACCGCAGGACTGTGGAGAAGACCTGGAAGCTTATGGACAAAGTGGTGGGTGTCTCTGTGCATCCGTGTACACGCACAGTGAGGAATGGGGCTATTTAAATAGGTACACGGGGGCAAAGAGCTTCTTGCAGCTCTGAGTGCTGTGCTGCATGTGCCTCGGGAAGTTAGGGGACTTATGTTTTAGGTTATTTAAGCATCATTTGTTTTTTGGGGTTTTTTTTTGTTTTTCTGTTCCAGTGGCCTCTGGCTATGTTTTTTTTAATCTTGGTTTGTGGAAGGAAAACAAATGTGTGTGTTTGCCTTAGGCTATTGTTATTTTCAGATCCTTTAAAATGACTCAAAGTTGAAGAGCTGTCCTAACCAAAAGCTGCTTAACTTAGACTTGTAATCACATATTCTGTGTGTTTCATGTTGTATCACACTGTTAGTCTGCAAACAAGACCTCTGAAGTATTAAACTTCAGTTAAGCTAATTGTCCTGTGAGATATATTGGTGATGGCAGCATAGATGTGTTTGTGCTTTTAGGAATGTGCGTGGGTACTGGTGGATGTCACTCTTGTCAGTTTAGTAAACAGATTAGTATGGCATGCCTAACTTTTTGAGTATGTGTTCTGCATTTTAATGATTTATAAGTATGTCTACTATTAATTTTGAAACTAGAAATGCACTATACTGAAACTCATTTTTCAGGAAGCGAGGGGATAGACGGTAGCTTCTTAGCTCTTCTGCTTTCCCTCGCCACTCTGATACATTTTGTTTAGTATTCTTTGAAATGACAGCTTGTATAATGATAGATTATCTTGGAGAGTGACTTACCAGTGATAGGAAGAGTTTGATTGTAACATGGCTTGCTGTTCAGGAGATGCAGTCACTCTGCTTTGCACATGGGGTGATACTTAAAAGCTTCCTCTTGAAACTGCTGAGCAGTGAGGATTGCTACCTGTTGGCCTGGGGTACGTATGGCCATACAGTTACTCCTTTTTAACTCTGTGATTTAGTGCAACTCTCTGCACTCCCTGGGGCTCTTGTGAAATAAGATGTTCAATATTTCTTAGCGTTCATAATTAGTTATACTGGCAGGATAGAGACTATTTCATGTAATGTGCCTTTACAAGTGTTACACTGTATTTGAAATCTTTGTAGGCTCTTTTTTGATGCTCCAAGAATAGTATCTGTATTTCCACTGTGTTTTCTGATAGCAATTATAAACTGAAACCCCAGCTTTAGCAAAAATGGGTATTGTCACACAGACTGTTGACATTTTCCTCTTAATGGTCAGGATGCTGTTAACAGTGAGTTCTCTTGTGCTAAGAACTGCAAGTATAAATACTCAAAAGTAGGTACTCTTCTTCAGTAGGAGGAAGTTTTCAGCTTGGAAACTAGGAATCTGGTTTGTTGTTGAAACCACGTGAGGAATGCAGAGCTCTGATTTCCTTGTGTCAGGCCTTTTAGAGATCTATATAGTAAGATTATACCCTGATTTGTTTGTATAATCACAATTATCAGAAAGTCTTTATCCCACGCTTAGGCTTCTGGATTGCTTTTACTCATCCAATACAGGAAACTCTATCTGTCACAGTCCATCAGAACAGCCAGGAAGGCCTGTTTGGTAGAAGTCACTGGAAAGGCTGGACATTGTGCTGTGCTTCCTTTTTAATTTTACTGGATAAGTGTCCTCAATTTGGATCTTTAATGTATCCTCTTTAAGCTGCTCTCAGTTAATCAAATTTTATTTCCAAATTGTATTAAAGTATACCAGACAGGATGATGTCATAGTGTGAGAATGCTCTAGCTTGTTGGTTGAGTTTTTAGCATTTGGTACTTGTAGTGAAAGGATGTGTTTGAGCAAATTTAATATGCTGGCAAACAAATTTAAATCTCATGGTCTTGTGTGGCAGCAGGCACAGGAAGGTCATTTTTTCCTCTGCCTAGATCATACCCAGGGATTAAAATCAGAAATAGAAACCTGCTCGATCAACTGTTGTTTTAAATCCCATTTCTGGAGTATGTCCTATGACTGATTTCTGTGGTGGGTCAGGGATCAAATTAATACCTATTGAAGGCAGTAGCTCTGCCAAGTCACTGGGGTGCTACCCATGGTAAGGCTGTGGCTTGGAGGCCTATTTTACTTGTTGTAATAACAGTTATTATGCTTGTTTATTCTTTAACTACAGTAGCTGTGATAACCATCTTATTACTGTAGTAAGGTAGCTGAAGTTTTCCCTCATTCTAATGATGTTAAAAAAATGAAAAATGGAAACACAGCAAAGCTTTTATCTTGACCAAACACCGAAAAAAGAGCAGCCTTAAAAACTAGCTCAATAATTTCTAGTTTGCATTTTTATCTTTTTTAAAATTGCTATCTTCTACCTTTCTTTTGTTTCTTTCTGTAATTTTGTCCTCTAGCATATGAGATTTTCTGTATGAGTTACTTGTTTGCAATGAGGGATTAACCAATACTACAAACATTCCTACCCTATAAGAACTGTACTATGAGGGTAGTTTTATGGTGTACAAAAATTCTGTCTACCTAGACACTATGCAAACTCCTCTGTGTAGAATTGGTTTTGTGTCCTGCTTTCAAATTATTCAGATTTCATGATAAGATCAGTGTTCCATGGGCTGATACTTTAGGTTGGAATAGGCAGAATATTGCAGTTCTGTTTGAGTACTTTCTTTTTAAACTTCTATTATCAGTCTGAAAACAAGAATGGGTTTTGAAAAAGAGATCTTTAGCAGGACAGAACGTTGGAATAGTGCTCCTGCTTAGATCCTTGTTTGTAAAAGTTGCCATAAGCAACATTCTTGCAGGGAATTAAAAAAAAAATCTGCACGTAGATAATCAGTGAAGGTAAATTGCTATCTGTCTATATATCTTTCCTTTTTATACTTCATTTACTGGGATCTATACTTTTTGTGGTTTATTGATATGCCTTATGTGAATTTACAGTATTAACTGCATTATTAAAGGGAAAACAAGTGTTAGCATCAATCAGGTTTCTCTACTGCTTTTCTCATGGGTTCTTATCATGAAGAAACAAAAATATTTAAATTCCTGTGCAGTGCAAAAGATAATATTTCTTTTATGGTTTAGAAGGCTAGCCTTGCTTTTCAATGCTTGCATTGTATAAGAAAGTTGACCATATATCTCTGGACTTGTAGGAAACAAATTACTGTTTTTAAAGCACGATCTATATTTTAGAAAGTTTGTATCCTGTAAATAAATGAAAAATAAATATTGTTAACAAATAACTTAGGTCTTTCTTTAAACTGTGTGTGAGGTACATGAGGTATTTTTTCTGTGATTGTAAACCTAAGGACTTTTAAAACCTAGACCCTAGCCATGTATTACCATTAGAGAATAAGGGTATGTTGAGACCAACTTTGGGAGAGAGTTACTGTTATGTAAACATTGGAGTAGTTAGGTCTGTTTACTGCTTGGGCTACTTAGACTTGTCTGTGCTATTTTTTTACACTTCACTCGTGTGGGATTCAAGCTGATAAAATCGTGACACATTATGAATGGGATTTTCTAAAGTAGGTGTATTTCATCAACTTGTAATCACTTGTCATTCCTCCTGTTCATTGGGCCTGAAAATAATTAAATTTTCTGCTATGAAGATTAACAATATTGCCTAAACTATTCGGTGCACTGTCATGGCCCACCAGCTGTTTGACTGTATAAATGCAGATGGAATTGATTTGCTATTTAGGAATTATTTAAGAGCAAAGTAGAGTGCTTCTCCAAAGCTTATACTGTTGACTTGGTGAGTAAAAGCTATGTTACCTCTGCAGGTTCGTATTGTGGTTTTAAGTTAACATCTGTCATCATCTGAGTATACAGAGCATGGTAGTTGAAACTATGCGTGTGTTGGTTATCCTTTGCAAAACTTTGTGTAATTGATTCTATGGTCAAAGTTGGTAGGAAATCTTATGTCATGTGTATGTTGGTTATGGAAAAAGAATACAAAATTAAACATGGAAACAGAAGCTTCTCTCTTTCTAATTGGAAGAAGGTAAAATTACCCTCCAAAGTCAACTGTCCTTGTGTGTCTGTGGTATCAGCAGTCTTGGTGTTTATTCTTCCACTATGGAAACATATGGCTCAGTTGCAGTGTGGTTGAGCAAACACTTACTGTATTCTCAGTCAAAAAGATAGATGTTTGGGTCATTTCTACTTATATTCTGACAAGAGCTTTTTTCCCTATGGAAAATGAAATGCTTTGCAGTTCAGGTGACTTCAGGCAGGAAGAAATCTCTGTCGAAGAACCATAATGTTCCAACTTTGACCATTTTCCTTACTATCCCCTCCTGATTAAGTTTTTCAGAATTTATGGTTGGTTGCATTGGATATTGAGGATTGCTAGAGAGTTGTTATGGTATCTTAACAGCAGGACTACCTTTATACTGTTTGTGGTATGTCAAGGTGTTTTATAATTCTTTAGGTATTTTGTGCAGCGTGGCAGAAGCAGCAGCTTTGCTCAGTGAGGCACTTTGGAAGTGTAGTTTTGGAAGTGTGTGAGCACTGATGCTCCAATTGTTCTGACCCATTCACTGAGGCTGAAAACAGTGTTTAGCGGATGTCCTACTCATTAGATACTCTGTTTTAGCTGAGTTACTTTCCTTGTATTGTCTTTTTGACTAGCCTTAGGTGTTTAAACAGATTGTGTTAAGGCTGCTGTACTTTGTTTTAACAAGGGTCCTTTTTTCAAGTGAGTCAAAGGCCTTCAACTTTGCTTTAAAGAGTGACTAGAAGATAGTTTTTAGCAAGAAATTGTATACAATAGGCCTCCATTACTCTCATCTCCAATGATGCTATGAAATAATGCCTTATAATTTAAGTCAAATATCTTCAAAAGGGTTATGAGTAGTGGCATTTATTTTGGTTAGGGGTGGGCAAAGAGAAGGGGTTGGTTTTTTTCTGCAAAGAAACTAGAGTTAACTTGTCTGGAAGTTCTGGAGTTAACTGTTTCTAATTCATTTTCTGGTAGATCAAGGTAATGCCTCAGTTTTCACAGGATCGCACTCTTATTGTTTCTGTGATTCTGGATTAAGTACTTGGATTTTCCCTGAGTGTGAGCTAGTGGAAAGGAGCTTAATTTTTTCTCAGTTTGCCTCAGTAAGAGAGATATTTTTTTACTAACTTGCTTGCTGCTTTTCATTTTTCACCACTGAGTGCTTGCTAAATATATACATGTTTACTTCCAGTCATAACAATACAAAAATCACACAGAGATATGATTCATGTCCGTTCCTAATGTGTTGGTGAGAGTTGCCTTGTAAAGTGCAATATAGAACTCTTTATTTTAGGGGTGTTGGGGTTTTTTTTGTGTTTATTTGTTTTGAGTTCTGTTTTCTTTTAAAGAAAGGTCTTGGCAAATCTTTTGCGTCAGCAGGTGTCATTTCTTACTGCTTACTTTTAATTGTGAACTGCTGTGGTATGTGTCAGGACATCCTGACTGGAAACCATATGGTTTACCAACCATCTCCTTACAGACTTACTTCCTTTGAAGCCTTGTGTACTCTGTAAAGTGAAGGAAACCTTATACTACTTCAGTGGATCACTGATTTGAACGTAATATTAGTATTTTTTTTCAATTTTAATGCATAAAACTAATGAAGGTGTTGAAGAATTTTTGTATGGTTTTCTTAAAACATTAAGGTTTAATGTGCTGGTAATGTGCTGTTATTTATCTCTCCAAATTTAGCAGAAAGCGAGTCTTTGTAAGCTACCTTGTATGTAAGGGTGTGAAAATGAAGAAAACTTGCTAGAACTTCTGGAAGAGAAAATAGTTCTTCCTTGTAAGGGGATATTCTTTTTGTATTAGCTGAATGGACTGACTGTTGAAAATACAGCAACCAGCATGAGCAAATTGCTTTTTCTTGTTTTAAAATTTTAATGGTATTTCTAACATATATGAAATCACTTCTGTTCTGCTTGTTGGCACGTATGATTGAAAAGGTTGACTTCAGAAAGACAATTCTTTCTTAATGAGATTTAACTTGGGGTAAATAAGTAATTCAGAATGATTGCAGCCTTTTCTGCTTGTGGTCTGCTCTCATTGCTGACTTTTCTCTAAATAAACATTTTGATCTTTCAGATGTTTTTTTTCCCTTGTGATTTTACTTCAGAGAGTTGTAAGGCCTGGTCAGTGATAGATTTGTGTCACCTGTAGTTGGTCTTGTGAAGAATGTCAGTTCGGTTTCAAGTTTTCACTAAACCAGAAATCACAGTGAACTCAAAGTTCAGAGGTAAAAAATCTGGTTTTCATAAAGATTTTCACTTCTGCATTTGGGATTCCAGTTCTTAATTTTCTACTAAAAGAAATTCATGTATGTCTCTGCATGGATGATTTTCAGGTGTAGCTACACATGTTAGGTTCTTTGTCTGTGTTTCTGACATCTCCTTAGAGAATTCTATCTGTCAGCCTAACTTCAGTGCTTTTCTGATCTTGAAAGAATGCTATCATAGCCAATCTTTATTCTTTGAGAACCCTACCTTAGACATCTCCTAACCCACAACTGGGGCCCTGTTGTCCCTTTTTTTTTATCCTGATGACCTTACCTTTATCACATAAAACATAAACAAGTTATTCACAGTTTCAAAGCTCTTGCAGTTGTAGATTGCAGTTTCAGAGTTCATTACAGGTTAAGAGATGATCAAATATGCTTTACTTTTTTTTGTTTCCTTCCAACTTGTTCTCAGCTTCCTTTATAAGCCATTAAATTATTTTTGAGAGCTTGCTGTGGAACTTTGCAGTTTATGTCTAGTAATACCAAACTGTTGGTGTTGAGTCTCTGAACCACTCTTCAGCATGTTGAACAGCTCATGTGTTCATATTTGCCTGCTTCTGTTTGTTTTTATTCCTACTGAAATGTAAATTTCTCTGGGATAAGGACTGTTCTACAACACATCAGAAGGCTTCCTGATGTATTACTTGGTCAAAGAGTTGAAAGAATAATAGAAATTACTAAAATAACAATCAGCGAAATGAGGAGAGCTATTTCTAATGTCATGTTTTAAACACTGTTTTGAATGGTGCTAGACTTTTTAAAAACTTAGTGCTTGACTTTTGTCCACTCTATCTCCACTTTTCTAACTATGACCTCCCGTTACCGCAGTCTAATTGCCTGGTTGTGTTCTTGCACTGTATGTTTCAGACACAAACTCTTACCTGTTTGCTTTGCTGTTTGGGGTGCATGAAAGTCTGGTAGTGGCAGCAATCTTTAGGCAGTGGATTTCTTAATGTTGTAGATGTAGAAATTACAAGAGAGATCAGCAATAGCGGTAGTGTTTTAAGAGATGAGTGTTACAGGATACAGGTTTGTTCCCTTCTCACCCAGAAAGTGACAGCTTTTTTTACAGAAAGTACAGCTCAAGGATGTACTTTTTTCAAGTTGATAGATTAGTAGGAATAGGAATCTACTTTCAGCAGTATTAAGATGTTTTTATAACCTCATTAGTTACTTCAAAAGAATGTCAAAGTCACTAATATATAATGTGGCAATCTCCAAATGATGCCTATAAAACATTTATACCACATGGTCTTAATTTTTTCATAAGTATTTGCATATGTACAGCTGTACACACATCTAGAAAGTGCCTCTATGCAATGTTTTAGCTGAGCCTGAATAGCTCAGTACAACAGCAGTCAAAAACTACACGTTAGTTTTAGTCTCTTTTCTTTCTAGAGCAGAAAATTACAGAGCAAACTATCAGAAAATCTAGATAGCCAGGAGACAATTCTAACCTTTTTACATTAAGGATATCTAAGAAACAAAGAGTACCTTTCAATTCCAGTAACAGTTCCAGTGGAGCTGGATTCAAATAAAGGTATTCTATTAGTCTGAATTTACTGAGTAATATATATTCAATTAATATTTGTGCCATTTGGGATCACAGTGATTCCAAGTCCATTGAGATGTTTTCTTCTATTTGGTTTAAGTGGCAGAGTTTTAGTAGTGAAGGGGACCACAGGGGTAGTTTTGCTGAGTAACAGCCAGAAGCTTCTCCCTGTCCAAAAGACCAGCTGGCTCCAAGCCGGACCTGCTGCTGGCCAGGGCTGATCCCATCGGCAGCAGTGATGCCCCATGTCTTAAAGGAAGGGGGAGAAAAGCTACTGTGCAGAAGCAGTTTGCAGTCAAGGAAGAGGGGAATGAGAATGTGTGAGAGAAACAACTCTGCAGCCACACAGCTCATTGGAAGAGGGGGATGTGTTCTGGGTGCTGGAGCAGAGATGCCCGTGGCCCACGGTGAAGACCATGCAGGTCCACAGTGGAGCTGGCTTTCACTGTAAGCCGTGGAGGACCCCACGTCAGAGCAGGCTGATGCTTGAAGGAGGCTGTGACACCTTAACGTGTCTAGCATGTGCTAGAACAGGCTCCTGGCAGGATCTGTGGTCCTGTGGACAGAGGAGCCCACACTGGAGCAGGTTTCCTGGCAGGACTTGTGACCCTGCAGAGGACCCATGCTGGAGCAGTCTGTTCCTGAGCACCCTGTGGAGGGGATATGTTCTAGAGGAGTTCATGAAGAACCGTGTTCTGTGAGAAAGACTCATGTTGGGGAAGTTCAAAGACAGCTGTCTCCTGTGGGAGGGACCCCTGTTTGGGGCAGGGGAAGAGTGTGAGGAGTTCTTCCACTGTGGAGGGAGCAGTGGCAGACAAGGTGGGATGAACTGACCACAGTCTCCATTCACCATCCCCTGTGCTATAGTGAGGGAGGAGGTAGAGTGGAAAATAAAGTTAGGCACAGAAAGGAGGGAGTGGTGGGTGTAATGTGTTTTTAAGATTTGGTTTTATTTTCTTGTCACCCTACTCTGATTTGATTGATAATTACATGAATTAAGTTCCCCAAGTCGAGGCTAAGTACGTTAATATTAAATACTTGTGACAGTATTTTGTGAATGAGCTCTCCCTGTCCTTTTCTTGACCTATGAGTCTTTTGTTACAGGTAGGGGAATGAGAACAAAGCTGTAGTGGGCACCTCCTCATCCAGTCAAAAGCAGAGTACTGAACTTCTATTCCAGCCAGGAGCTGGAAAACAATGAGTTCATAATAATTTTGTTTTCTGGTTTACAATATCTGTTTTTGAGTGACCTAAAGTCTGTCTGTTATAGGTAATAATTTTTGAACAACTGTCACAGTTCAGACCATTTTCTTAAGTGCAGAGCTTTCAAAATTAAATTTCCCTAGGGTCTAAGAGGCTATATTGTTAGATAAAGAGAGACAGCAGATGACAAAGTAATTTATGTCAGTTCTTAGCAGATACTTAAACACCTGTAGCTAAGTTACCTGCAGCAAACAGAGCTGTATGAAAGTACTGCTCTTGGCATTTGTTGCATGCTGTGTTTTGATATACTCCTTAGCATATATTAGGCAGGAAAAGACATACTTGAAGGGTAAACCCACAAATATGTAGGTAAGCTTGTTTGCTTTTTAGAGATGTGACAAGATTAAGTCAAATTTTGCCCCTTTTGACATCAGAAACTGTGTTGGAATTTCACAGAATATAAATGAAGTACAATTTAATTCTTTGGGGTTGGAGGTTAGAGAAGTATGTTATACCTGATAAATTTGAAAATATCAAATCAGTTTTTGCCTCAATGGATTTCTTGTCTTTTACATTCTCTTGTTTTTGCTTATAGGTAAGATTGTGCCAAAACCCAAAGCTTCAACTCAAAAACAGCCCACCTTATATACTTGACATTCTACCTGATACTTACCAACATTTGCGACTTATACTGAGCAAATATGATGACAACCAGAAACTCGCACAACTCAGTGAGAATGAGTATTTTAAAATCTACATTGACAGTCTTATGAAAAAATCAAAACGGGCCATAAGACTCTTTAAAGAAGGAAAGGAAAGAATGTATGAAGAGCAGTCACAGGACAGGTAAGTGAAGTACTTAAATATGAAGTACATCATCTGGTGTATCTGCATTCTTAACACTGTTGTCTGCAGCCATTGTGCTTTGACATTTTTAATTATTCAAAGAGCAGAAATATTTATTGCTTGGATTCATTGACCCTGCAGGTCAATCAGTAATTTGCTGGATTTGTTTTGCTGTATGCTCTTATCTGTCACTTTGTGACCTTTAAAACCAAGTGCATTTCCTTCATAAAACATTCATTTCATTGTAATTGCTTATTCACAGGGCTTACAGTATGTAGTTTTTCCTGTGGTAGAGAGAGGGACTGTTAACTTGGATTGAGCTTGACCTCCCTCCCTACCCTAGATCCTTAAACTTTGGGAGCCATGATGGATATTGACTTAGAATTTTCACAAGCGATGGAATGATGCAAAACAATATTCCCACTTTTCAGATATTATGTAATTTTATGATAAGGAAATGATAACGTTAGCTTCATGCTGAGAAACCTTTTCAGAAACATAATGGATTCTTGATTTGCAATGGTTCAGTTTTAATAAAAGGAATTAACGTCCACTTTATCTGCACTCTTGGTGGTAACTGAAGAGGTTTTTAATATTTGATTTGATTACCTAATATTTTAAAAAACAATATTTCAGGAAATTCTGTGCAAGATCTGCAGTCTTGTTTTGGGAAGAGAGGGGATTGAACACTGTTGTGGCCATTAGTCTTTGCCTTGTGTGCTATTACTGTAAATCTATTCAAATGAAAGAGACAATGCTCTATCTGAAGTCTCTTTTTAAAGGAGATGGTGGAGAATGAGATGTCAAGCGAATGGAGGATTGAATTCCTGCTCTTCTGTCTGTCTGCACTTGAGCTCTGAGGCAGGCGTGGTGGCAGTATAGTTTTACAGCTGGTGAAATTGTTGGTAGAAGCAGTGAAATGTCTACATTCTTGTATATGTCATTGCTGTTATGGTTGAATTGTACATATGTTCCTTCCAGATCTTTGGCAATGATTATAGCTACTCAGTCTACTGTGGTAGTCTTTTGGGCTTGGTAGGGTGTCTGAAATTTGTTTGACATCTAAGGACTTTTCTCTTATAGAACATCAAGACTGTCCAGATGTGAATATACTTAGGCAGAAATGCTCCAAGAGGAGCAAAATATACTGTTTAAGGTGTTTCAGTGATCAGTAAAGATTTTGATGAATGCATGTTTTCTGTGTGTGAATTTGTGTGCAAAGCAATGTTTTCAATGTGGATGCATTCTTACCAGAACTCCTGAGAGAGCTGTGCATCGCTGAGCCCATGGCTACCTAATTTAGGCATCCCATTTGGTATATGTATAGAAGTCATTGTGTTTCAAAGGAAATATGAACTTGTTATGACAAGGGAAATTTGACAGGAGTAGTTGGATTATATAAGCAGGTTTTATTTTGACTTACTTGTGTTGTATGAAACCCCAATCTAGTTACAGGTTTGCTTAAAGTTGGCAAAAATTAAAGCCAGTTTCAGTGACACTCCTTCAAAATACGTGCTATAAGCTCTGTACAGTAATTCAGGCAATATGTTAGTAACTCTTGTCTAGTTGCTGGAGTTGCTTCTTTCTGGTTACCCATTTCATTTTCTGTATTATGGTAACAGTGGTGCTAGAAGGATGTCTTTTGTGAAGCACAGAATTTTTGGAGAAGGTGTAGTTAGCATATTTACTGTATATTTGGGCCATTCTTCTGAGATGGCTGGAGAGGAGCAATTTTAAAACAAATCATACTAATGAAGTGCACTGAATCACAATAACTATTTCAGGCTTTTAAAATTAGTATTTCAGAAGTTGACAGCTATCTTATTTTGCTTAACTGATGGAGTTCAGAGCTTGAGAAAAGGAGCATAATAGAAATGTTTTTCTTGTGTTCAAATTGTTAGTTGTGTTTCCAAAATACAAATTGCATTTTGACTGTCAGAATGCTTAAATGAAAAGATTGTAAGAATTACTTCATTAGATCATGACCCATGTCATTCCAAATAAAAGTCTATATGATTTCAGTGCATCCTGAATGAAGGTGTACTTGTTTGCTGAGCTATATGACTAGGTGTTGGAGCACTGCTAAGGAGTGCTTCAATATACTTTATCATGCCAATTCTTGGTAACTTAGCAAAGAAGTTGTTAATGTGTTTAGTAGCTTTAATGTGTTTTGATAGTTTCTTTGCTTCCAAATATGCTTGCATTAACCTCATCAACAAATGATTAACAAGTATTATAATGTAATTGTAGCAGTGATCAATTGAAGATTGTATTTTTGAAGATGCTTCTAAAATGACTGTCATTAAAGTAGTCAATTTGTAGTGGAAATATTGGGAAATAGTAAATTTTAAAAAAAGCTAAGGCAAATGTTGGCACCTGGACAGTTTCTGTGGTTTTTCATTCTTATTCTGTCTTGGTTTGTGGATAAAAGCGCATCATAGAAAAGAGAAATGCTTTACTCTTCATAAATTTGATTGGTATCGTTTTAACTTATTTAGCATTATTGACTAATTTCTATAGTGATGGTACATTTAGGAACCAGTGCCAATATACATGTGATTTTGTTTGTGTGATGACACAAAAACTACTCTACTGTGAATAATTTATCAGAGATTTTAGTTTTCAAAGATCCTGTGAATGAATTTTAGTTTTCAAAGGTCCTGTGGAAGAAACAAGTTAGAGAAGCAGCACTTAGGTAGTGTAAGCTTTGGTGTTAGCCATTTGTAGGTAATCTGGCTGGTACAGTATCTTGTTTCCATATCGAATGCATATGATAGCCATTTAAGAGTAGATGGTGCTGTCATTCTGTACTCTATTGGATAAGTCTTGCTAAGAAGGGAAAATAGGGTTTGCAAGTTTGTTTCTTGTGCTTAACTGCATCTATTTTTGAGTATGGTGTCTTCTACAAAATTATGTCCTTTCAGTCTTCTTGCTTAATGAAGTAAGAGATAATGTCCAGTAAGTTCTGTAAACTGTACTACATACAGGCTGTATGGAAATCTTTCTATGACTGAAGTAATTTTACTTTTTGTCACAGATTTTACTTTTTAAAAAGTTATTAACGCAAGTTTATTAGAATTACTGGTTCAGAGTCATCTACTCTAAAAAGGTTCTCTGTGTCTTTGAGGCTTTTGGGGTTGTCTTTTCTGCTTTTTGTTGCTTTTCTTTGTCGCCCTTTGTTTATTGGGAAGTAAACTAAAGCTGGAAAACATCATGTCTGTGAAGTCCAAACTTCCTTCCCTTTTGCTGTATTCCAGAATTAGGAATTCAGAAAAAATAAAAACTTCACAGAATGGCAGTTTTTGAGATAAATGTGTTATCCAGGTGTAGAAATCAAGCACATAAGTTACAATAATAAGACTAAAGAATAAAGTGGCAGTGGGGAGAGTACATTTGGATTCATTCAAGGTGCTGGACATAGTCTTCAGTTCTTACTAATGGAGACAAGTGGGAGGTTTCCTGTGATTTCCTGTAAAACATATCTTAGAAGAATGTCTTGAAATGGAACTTTTTCTCTGACTTTTAATATTGACTGCCTTCTGCTATAGGCCTTTTATATGAGGAGAAGCAGAAAAGTGTAAAACCAGGGTGTATATTTTTAATAATCTCTTAAAATTCACCTTGGTTCAGCCAGAGTTGGTTGGCTGTTTGTTTTTAAGTGGTATTCCAGAAGTGGAAGATGGATATTTCTTAAGCAGTGGATGGTAAGGATGAAGATGTCAAGAGAAGACCTGTGATGGTTTTGTGGTCAGTGTAGGAAGGTGTGTATGAAGTATATGTCAGAGTCAAAGAAGTCCTTCAAGGTGATCACAAAACCACTTCTGTTCCTGTCTAAAAAGTCTTATTAAATTCTCTTGTGCATCTGGCCGTTTGATGTCTTGATTCAAATTATGTGTTTCTATATTGTACAGCTTGTTTAAATGTTGGTGCAGAATTCTTATACTCTCTTAAGTCTTGTAAGGAGGTCTTGTACCTGCAATTCAAATGATAGATCAAGTTCTCCTTTGTTACTGTTGATATTGGTTACTGGGTTTATAGAGTATTCCATTTCTCTTCCTTAAGTCCATCTTGACTTGTGATCAGTTGTGGTTTTTGGATCAAGTCCTTGAACTGCTACATTAAAGTACACAATGTTCTTTCTGCTGCAGAAATTTCTCACGTATTTCTTCTTATCCTGAAAGTACAGACTTAATAAGAGGTTAAAAATAGTATCAGGATGGGAGTCAGGTGTGCCTGCTGCGATGCAGTAGCCCCTTGTGTACTTCTGTCTTGTGTGTCTTGTCTGCTTCCTTGCATTACCTCTGCTTGTATCACAAACTTGCTGTTTAATTTCTAGGAATTTAAGAAGTTTATAACTTAGCTAGCCTCACAACTTGTTTGTGTCTCCAGGAAGAGGAGGTTTTGTTGATTGTGGGAAGGATCAGGAAGAGCAAAGTTTTAATTCAGGGTGATTTTGTTTGGAGAAGTTAAGATTGTTTTGGCTGATGTTTTTTTTTGTTTGACAAATAGAAGGTAGAGATTCAGAAAAAGATGTTAATGGCCCTTTTCATAGAGCCAGTTTTGGCTTTTGATTGACATCACATAGATAACTTGGTAATTGTCGAATAAAAGTTATGGGCTTCCTGATTTGTTCTGTTTTCCAAGCATATTATATAGTTTTTGGTCTCCAGTAAATTCTGAGCTAAGCTATACATACCATCAATCTGTTTAACATGGTATGTAAACCCCTAAACTTAAACTGTCTCACCACAATTTAGAGATATATTGACTGTTTAATCTTGCTGAAGCTGAGAGATGGGAATCTAATATTTGTTTTTTCCCCTCTTGTATTTATTTACCTGTATTTTTAGATGATTCCTAGTATAAGAACTTGGCTACAGTAAATAGCCTCTAACAAAGAAGTTTCTTCTCAGGAAAAACGAATGCATGACTGATTAGATGGGGTTGCATTAGATGGGGAGGAGGAAATGCAGTGTTTTTGGGTTTTTTTTAAGCTTTCA